TTTCTTTCTTTCTTTCTTTCTTTCTTTCTTTCTTTCTTTCTTTCTTTTTTTAAGTAGGTTTTCCAAGGAGGCTGTACTTACATATGGGCATATTAGTATCTTGTAGAATTGACAGTGTTAAGTACAACAGCCAGGAAATAATCAAAACACACATTATGAGCAATAATAAAGAACAGCAGTGATAGAAGGAAATATTTCCATGTTGGTGTGTTGATGATATCATAAATGAGGTAATACAAATGCTTTGAAAGAAATCTGTTCCCTTATCCCTTGTATATTTTAATGCATATGAAAAAGTTCTTTGCCTTTCACTTCAGTTTTGAAATCAACCCTCTTTGAGCATTTTCCAGAATAAAAAATCTTGATAGGTTTTTTTTAAGGTTTTCAATTGCTCTGTAGAATTGCATAAAAACAAATAAATAAACAAAAAACCCTCTGTACAATTTAAAATAATAACAAATAAGGAAGCCTCTACATTTAGAAAGAACAATTTTACCATACATATACTTCAGAATGTTTCTGGTGTCTGTTTAGACTTGTGGATTGCTTCAAGAAACCCCAGTATTTCAGTCCCCAGCAGTGAATTTGACACTGTGTCTCTTGATATGTTTTTTGCTCCAAATTCATGAAACAAGGGAGTAGGTTTTTGCTTACTTTTTGTTTTCTTTCTTCAAACCACCTCCCACCCACAAATCCCATTGTTATGTTTTAGATAGCCTTTGGGTTGAGAAAGCAAGAATAAGGATGTTTAATAAAGTGTAACAAGAGGGTTGAAAGTAGAGCAAGCCATTGAAATGTGTTCTTTTACAGCAAGTGAGATCACAATTAAATATGTAAAAACGAGCTTTGTGTATGGAGAATGAATATATTACATCTGCATCAAGCATGTGGGATTTTTGTGTTTACACATAGCTTGTGTAATGTATTACATTTCATTTTCCCTGTGTATGGTTTGTAAGACTGCAACTGTGCTGCACGTTGCAGAATCAGTGGAGATTTTACAAATGGCAATGGCTGGATAAAGGTGAGAAGGAAAATGATGAGGGAGGGCTGCATGTGAAATCTAATGTTCACAAGGGGCAATGAGAAAACTATCATTAAGTTTTACTGAAAACAGAAAGCCATATCTGCATTTGCCCTTTATCCTTCCACAAGTTTCTATGGAATGCAGCACTAAAAAGTGAACTCCTGCAATGTAAGAAGCCTACTTTGCAAAATTGGATCTTTTGTGGTTACGTTGCAAGTTGGTTGCAAAATCCTTGTGGTTGTGCTGCAAGTTGGCTGAGAAAGTCTTCATGTTCACACTATTCCACTACCAGTCTTTTGCCTTTCTTCTCTTATTCTTTTTCTATTCTTTCCCTGTCCAGCTCACAGTAGTTGCCTGCATGATTTTCCCATACAATGTGTTGTATTTCTTAAAAATAATAATAATAATAAAAAAGAGGCATTTTTTAAAATGTAACAAGGTCACCTACTCTCAGACAGAACCAGGCATTTTAACACAAGTCCTGCTTTTCTTTTTCTTATTTTATTTGCTTCAGTTTCCATACTCGTTTTTAAAGCTAATCTTTTGGATTTTCACGTATGCAGTTTAAAAAAAAATACAGTATTCAATAATTAAAAGCATTGAGGAAAGCATCTTTACATTCTCTTTAGAGTTCGCACACCCACTGTTAAAGCATAATAAATTAGTAAAACAGATGTCTTCAAATAATTCTCCAAAGCTTGTACAAATGATCAATGATCTTTTTAATTTTTTTCTCTTTTCCTATTTGACCACAAACACTGAATTTCTTTATCCATTGCCAATTGCTCAGGTCTTCGAAGAGGGCTTCTACTTTTCCTTGTTAGTATTTAAATGGAAGAAATGTTTCAGCCCTTGACATTGCAACACTTTCTGGTACCCATCCTCTGAAAGAAACATGGATCCCTGTGCTTGGTGCTTTGGGTCCATCCACCATGTAAAGGACGAGCCAAAATGCCCAGAACTGGCATGTCCAGTGTCTTGGCACTTGGCAGGAACTGGGGCATGTACTTATGCTAGCTGGTAGGAGGTATCATGAAGTGTGTTCATTTCTGCTGTGCTGTTGCTGTTTCGATTCTTTCGATTCTTCTTACGATTTTCACGTATGGAGTTTAAAAAAAAAAAAGTCAGGATTTCATTAATCTACCAGAATGCACATTCCTTCTCGAGTATAAACCATGACAGTGTGCACTATTACCATTTAATATTATGTGAAAATTGGGTGAAATTCAAAGCAGTTAATTTCCCACGAGAACAGAGACATTATGTGTGTATATATATGTGAACAAAGTTACAAAGTTGCTTTTTTTTACTTATTTTCAAATTTACATCAAGTCACTCATCTAACTGCATCGCTTCAATTAAAATTCTTTGCATGAAAATAACAATAAAAATAAAGAGACAATCAACTAAATATATTACTGTATCGTAAAAATTTTGTTAGCTATATAATGACACAAAATATTCTCTACATTGCAATATCACACTAAATTCTACTACAGATTCTAAATTATTTCAATGTGTGTGTCATTAAGATGTATAAAATACTGAATTCCTAGTGATTTTTGTGATGAAAACATCTGCAAATATTTCTTCTGAATCAGATTACAATTGTAACTTGAGTTTTAGGTGCTTATATGTAGCGCTCACACTTTTATGTTGGATGAGCATAGGAATCTAAAGGACAGTATGAAATATGAACTGAAGAGTGCAGATTGATGGCTTTAGTACACATTAACCACATGCAGGTTTTTCCTCTGAAGAAACAGTGAGTGGTCCGTGAAATGCTCTGCTTGCTTCGCTGATATCATCGTGAAGTGTGTTTTTAGGGCTTCAGGGAACGATTACCAGGGAATAGTCAGTGGTAGCTCTGGAGTCTGATGTGGTAATTGATGTAATATTTATACATATTACTGCCAGATTTGTTTCAGTTTATTACAGACACTGATATTTCTGATATCTTTTTTAGAAATGCCACGTTTTGGGGATATGGCTGTTTGTTGTTAGCTCTGAAGTATTGATTTTTTTATTTGCTGATGTAGAGTACATATTGAAGGGTAGGGCTTAGAGAGAAACATCAAATAATACTGCAAGCTGTTCAAGTAAAATGTTTGTGGAAGTCCGATAAAGGTATGAAAAAACTTTACATTAACTCAAGAGTGATGCATCCCAACGAAGAGGAAGTCAGGCAAAAATGCCAGAATGCTTGAATGGAACAAGAAGATCCTGGCCACACTTAACACAAAAAAGAAACCTACAGAGGATATAAGCAAGGACAGTTAACCTTGGCGGAATACAGAGACATTGCCTGAGCAGTCAGTGATCAAGTAGGGAAGGTTAAAGCCCAGATGCAATTGAATCTGACTAGGGAAGTCAGAGGCACCAAGAATGGCTGACACACGAGTATATTAGTGACAAAAAGAAGACTAAGGGAAATGTGGTCCCTATGTTAAGTGAAAAGGGAGACCTTGTTATTGTGGGCAGTGAAAAGGCCAAGCTACTGAATGCATTCTTTGCCTCAGTCTTTACCAGTAATTCAGGCCTTTAGAAATCCCATGTCCCAGAGGCTAGCCTGAAAGACTGGTGCATCGAATATGTAATCTTGGTGGAATAGAATCAGGTCAGAGATTATTTAAGAAAATTGGGCATTTGTAAGTCCATTCGCCCTGCTGGGAGTGCTGAGGGATCTGGCAAATGAGACTGTGAGTCCACTGTATGTAATCTTGATGAATGCAAAGGGGAGAAGTGCCTGAAGGCTGGAGGAAAGCAAATGGACTGAGGCCCATGTCAGCTGCAGCTGTCCTGGCATTCTGAGATGTTATGAAAGCTCTAGAAGCTTGGGCTAGATATTAATAAAAATAAAAGGAATCTTCCTTTTATTTAATTTGTAAAGAGAGATGTTCTAAAAGCTTGTGCACATTTCTTAGTAATCTTTCATTAAAATTATATTTATTCACCCTGCATTAGATCTCAGTTTTTCTAAGCAAAAAAAATTAAATTAAACAAAAAATACATAGATAGCTAAAGCTGACAATGCTCATTAGGAAAATAAAAAATAAAAACAAAGCAAACGAACAAACAAAAAAACCAATGTCACTTTGACAATTAAGAATCATTCTATTTTCTTACCACTTTATCTTTGATATAGCTCAACCTTCCCTATGTTTGTGGGTGCAGTTTGCAATGTAGTTTTTCTAGATTGCCTTCCTTTGTCCTAATTCCTCACAGCTTCTGCTGGGTGCCAAGCCAAGGCCTGTGCTCTCTTGACAATGCATGCTTGGAAGATCATGTGTATGCGGATTATTTGCAAGCCACATTAAGACATAGTTCACATTGTCTGATGACAGTGGGGAAATACGTTATTAAAAATTGGGTTGATTACCATATTCATTACATAGGTATATCACGTTATTTAATAAGTTGTTTTTAAAATGTTTTTCAGGGGTTCTGATAAATGTTTGTGCTGGGTTATGCCATTCATCCTTAATCAAAAACCCACGGCCTATATTTCAATGGAGAGGACTTCCCTTTATGAGAAGAACTACGTTTCTTCTGTTTTTCTATCACCATTTTTAGAGTTTTTTTATTATATTTTCAGTTTTTCACCCCTTATAGATTATAAAGATCATCTTAGAAGTAGTAAGAGAGGAAAAATCAGGAAGCCATTAATAATATACTCATGCAAAAAAAGCATAATCTCTTCAATGAGTGACAGAATCAGAACAGGGGAAAAAATTATCATCACATTGACTGTCTTTCTGCTAGAACAGTGCTCTTTCCCAAGATAATTTATCTATTCTTTTTCCCTTCCTAATATAAATGTATGTATTTAAGCTCCAAACTGTCAAACTTTGTTAGCATTATGCATTTATTTGGAAATAGGCTCTGTGAGGCAGAGGATTATTAATATCTACTTTGATAAAATTACAAGTATGACTTTTCATTTATTGTATTGACCTTAGAATCCATAGAATCATGGAATCCTTGAAGTTGGAGGGAACCTTTAAAAACCATCTAGTCCAGCTCCTCTGCAATAAATGGAGAGACATCCACAGCTAGATCAGGTTGCTCAGAGCCTGGTCCACCCTGGTACCTGGGATCTTAGTTGTTGCTAGGAAAAAACAACATTTACTGATATTTTCTTTCAAGCGTAAGTTCCCTGATTTTATTATCCTTCATGCTGTGGTTTTAAGGGAAGTTACTTGTGAAGCAGCCTGAAACTGCAGCCTAGATTTTAACTTCTTTTTTCTATACAGTTTATATTTTGGGCTATGCAACAGTTCCTAAAATCTTAACGCAGAATTTAAATGTTTAAGCCTACCTTGCTTTTTCTCCACCTTGCATCTTTATAAAGCATGTGCATTACTTTCATTTTCATGCTTCTTTGTTCCTCTAAGCAGTGGACTTATTTTGCAGCTTTCAACTTAAAACTAGAGACAGAAACAGAGCAGAGTAGATAGCATTAGTCATTTAAATAGTCAACAGTGCCTACACACAAAGCATGACAGGCAATTAGTGTGTGCAGCATCTGGACCTGATCAAAACATGCGTCATGGAGCACTGTTAGTGAAATGGCCATGAGCAATCAACAGGGACACTGAATGTATCCTGCTCTGTACAAAATATTTGGATGGACTCCCCAGAGTGCTGGAGAGGTGGCCCTGAAAAGAGCAATCATCTGGGAAGATTCCTCTTGCTTCCCGTCCCAGCCACTACTGCATCTTTCTTTCATTTTTTCTTCCACTCTCTCCTTCTCTTTCCCTTCTTTCTGTCTCTTTAATTCTTTCCTCAGACCTCACATTTGCTATCAGTGTTGGTGGATGTCATGTGCTGTAGGCACAAATAATGCACCTTTGTGCAAATTTCTCTCAATGTTTTTATGCTCAATTCACTGAATTTAATAAAACAGGGAAGGAAAGGACATATATCAGATTTACTGGAATTTTCTTGCTTCTACAATCAATAGAAATGTATAAATTATTGATGACAGATCTCTTGGAGTACTGATCCAGCTCACCCAGGTAATTCAGACATTTGAAGTGTAGAAAATACCATACCATGTGACCTGGAATTATGTATTTTGTAATTTGTGAATATAATCTGTTGTTCATCTCAATCACTGCAGATTTATGCCTACGTATTTGAGAATATCAGATCGGTTCAGCTAGAGGCTTTACTTCTCTCCTTGCTGAGCATTGTGGTGCTTGTTCTTGTTAAGGAATTGAATGAGAAATTTAAGAGAAACATAAAAATTGTTCTTCCTATTGATCTAGTTTTGGTAAGTAGGAAGCCAAATATTAGACTTTTTCCTTTATAGAGTTTTTAGTGGCTCAACTAATTCCCTGAAGTTTTCTATGTTTTCTGTAGTTACTCACACCTGCCACTTATTAAATGAATGGCTAATTTTCATGGCTGTATATTAAATGTAATTACAAGAAAGAGTTTGGCTAAATAATTAAGAAAGAAGTGACATATGTTCCCAATTTTTATAATATTTTTATTACTTTTTTGCATAATTACAAGAGCATGAGGTCTAGAATGTTAAACTACAAGAAGCTTAATGTAGAAAATGAAAAGTAACTGATGTAACTCCAGGCAAGCATTGTGCTGAGTAGTTCTGACTTAGATATTGCATATTATTTATCTGCAGCAAAGTTAAATACCTAAGCTATTGCTTTCTATGTTTACTTACAGTTTTCCTTTCATATAGCATAGACTAAGTTGAAATTCTCTGTTGTACAGTAAATCTCAACTTTAAGGATTAAACTACGGTAAAATAACCAGCTCTAGGACAGAGGTTTCTGTTTTGTTCTAGACCAGTAAAAGAAATTTTAACAACAATAACAAAAGGCTTATTTCAGAGTGGATCGTCGTGAATACTTTTTTTGTTGTTGCTATTGAAAAAAACTGTTTACAAAAGAACCCTTTTTCTTGTATAAAATGCTGGAAAATGACATTCTGGTCTCTGCTCTGTGATCTGTTTGTGTATTGCCCATTAAATAATACTGGATAAAACACAGCAAACCAAGCATGATGTACTACAGCATGTTCCTGTTCTGGGATTTCTGTGGTCAGCTCACAGAAGTATGGGAAATGAGCTTGAACCTCCTCAGGGCCAAACTTTCCAATCTCTCAGCAAGGTTTATACCTGCTGAAACATAAATTGAGAGGTAACCACATCTTATTCTGCTGGGTTGTGTGCTGAAGTTGATATTGCCACTTGGGATCAGAGAGCATGAGCTGAACCGCACACTCAGGCGCACCTCAGTTATGGTAACAGTTTTGAATTACTTTAAACTGTGAATGGCAGTGGTTTGAGCCATGTGCTGCACAGGGGCAGTTTGATGAAGACTGGCAAGTGGCTTTGCAGATTGATTTTATTACCAGTGAGCATCTAAATTCCTCTGTCATAGTCTTTCCTCAGACATGCTTTCTAAAACTGTTATTGTGTCCAGATCATTTCTTTTGCCTCACTTCCAGATTTACTATAATTTTAGTTATAATACTTCCCTGTCTTACTGGATTAGTGTAAAGACACATGCATGAACACTGTCATATTCTCAGCTCTGGTGGTAACATGGACTATGTGAGAACCTGAAAGCAATAGAAAAGTAATGTATTTTTTCTATATTGAATCAAATAGATAATTGCTACATCCATTGCCTGCTGCTATGCCGATATGGAATACGTCTACGGGCTAGAAGTTGTGGGGCATATTCCTCAAGGGTAATATGGTTTTTATTAGTTTGTGGCTTCTCAATATGCTTAGATCTATGAACAGCTTGTGAGGTGGTCAGAGTAGTTTTTTGGAGTAAGAAATAGTAAAATCTATCATTTTCATTCATGACCTTCTCGAATACTCTCTCACAATTCAATCTCACACTAACAAGGAGTATTGATGTAGTCTTAAAAATGCAGACTTTTTTGTACATTTTCATAGGTATCTCATTACTTTATGCAGTAAGGTAGCTACCGTATACCTGATGATGGCTAATGGATGTATGTCAGGAGGGCAATCTACTAGATTACTGCTACCTGTGTTTTGTGTAAGAGAGGACTGCAGTGAGATAAGCCTGTAGATTGCACCAGTGAGTTCTTCTCTACTTATTTATACAGTAATTTTAGAAAATGTGGTTTCTGAAGAGAAGGATTTAGCTATAGAAGAGCATTCTGACTATGGGCAGTGATACATTTTCCTCCATGAGTTTGAAAAGAAGGAAAAAGATATTCAGTATAATTAGCTGTGAAAACAATTAGATTAGGTGTTAGGGAGAATGTTCATACTCCAAGGGCTGGTAAGGAACAGCACAGCTGTTCTATAATCTCCCTCTTGGAGATTGTGGGGTTTCCCTAAGTTTCACAGGGCAAGCTCTGAATGCATGTGTGGCAGATTGCACTTATGTAAAATAAAGGAAGTTGCTGAGGAAGAAAATTACTTTTAACTCTTTGGGTATGCTATCACAGGCTACGTGTTTCTGAGGCTGAAACAATGTTATTGTACTCCTTCTGATATGCATTATGGGCAGTTAAATTGTACTGATACAGCTTTAATCAGAAGCTTATTTTCTGTCTAACCTCACATACCAAGATTCTTTAGTGTTGAAAAACATAAGCAGAAAGCTGGATCCCTCCCACATATCTTTAGTGCTCGCTCACCTGAGATATCTAACTGCCTTGTCAGTGGAGATCATTAGAAACTTCAGGTGTTCTGAGATCTGAGGGGACATAATTTGCTCTCAGAAGAGTCTGACATCTTTTTGAAGAGTAGAGATAGTTTGGTGTGATTCGGTTCTTAACTGTGGGGTTTTATAGCATTAGAAAATTGCCATTAGATGGAGTAAGTTTCCATACTGAATGCTGATGATGAGATGCTGAATACTAACACTGTTCCAACTAATCTAAAACATAATAAATGTCTGAAGTATTAAACAAAATTAACCATGCATGCAAAGACTGTTTCTCTTCTATTGTCAAGAATAACAGAAGTATTGAGGCTATCTTTATTTTTTACAGGCTGCCACCACCAAAACTGCCATCCATGAATGTCCTATCTGAGGTAGTCACAGAAGCTTTTGGGGTAGCACTGGTTGGTTATGTAGCATCACTAGCTCTAGCCCAAAGCTCTGCTAAAAGGTTTAATTACACTGTGGATGATAACCAGGTAAAGTTCTTTCTCTTTACTTAAGGAGACCAGAAGGTCAGTTAGCTATAAAACTCATTTACCATTTTGGAGAAGTGTTATGGATGAAAGCCCAGTAAGCATAAATTCTGCATGACATCCCGAGGCCTTCCAATGATTACTGTGGAACTCATATCTAGTCCAAATCAGCTCTGTAGAATATCCTATTTGGATGAGCTACACTTTTTGAGGAAATGCATCCTTCAAGGATAATCTCATAATGCTGCATTTCATGCAGACTGTAGCTAATTTAGGTGTTAATGTGTCTTCCCAGTGTTTCAAGGTGTGACAGCTTCTCTTCTGGCAGCTGAGGTCTTAAAGGCCAGCTAAGATTTTAAACCAGTGATTGATTAAAAGAAAGAAATAAATTAGGTACTTACTGCCCTAGGAAATATCTGATGTTATAAAATAAGATTATTCAATGAAGAAGTCTCATCTGAAATTAAGGTTTATTTATATAAAAGATGCAGGATGATTTCAGAGAGCACTGCCAAATTTGCAGCCACAGGAGCTCTCTGTTTAGAGTTCCACTCTGCAGTATGCTAGCTTAAATAAAAGTGGGATGATTTCTTCCTGCGCTACCTCACTACTGGTCATGGTGAGTAGGTAACTTCAAGGCAAGTGGGAATCCGTGGAGTCAACAGTTCAAACACTGGTAAGAAACACTCCTAACTGGCAATTAATGCTGTGTGATGAGAATTCTGCTCCCAACTTCCTGTTAAATGATTTGGGATAGATGACATAATGTTGTATGAAGAGCAGTTGGTTTTGCAGATGAAGACCTATCTGAACATCCCATCTAGACAGATTGGCCTTGCTACATCAGTGCGTATCTTTTGCAAATCTCACTACCATTGGAAAATAAGGCAACAATATTCTTATATACTCAGGTGCCTAAATTTTTTTCTGAAATGAATACATTATGCCCTGATTTTCTGTTGGTGCTGAAGAGCAATGTTTTCTAGGGAGCACAGCTTAGTATAAGTTATGCCTTGGGACAATGTGCTGTAGTGCCTAGAGGGCACTAAACTGAGTACAGCAACCTGTGTGTCTTATTGTACTTTTGGAAAACTTGTAACTTTTACTGCTTAACTACCGAAATGGTGGAAATTATGTGTATGTCTGCAGAGGATAATGGAGCAAAGAGAAAACCTACATGAAAACAGAGCAGGCAGGGCAACATGGTGGTAAAGCTGCACTGCATTCACGAGCCAGGCACAGTTCTTTGCATGGTGTCATGTGTGTGTACAAGTCTATCTGAGGACTTCCATGGTGTTCCTCTCTGGTGCTGTGAAGACTGACCCACCATGATGTGTTTCCCTGGCTAGATATGACATCATATATGTATCAAGCACTTTGGCAGCACCAGTGTCTTTGTCACATTGCCCTCAGGGGATGGATGAGCTCCTCCCAGAGTAGAGCTGGGATACGAGGTGGCTTCCTCGGTGCATTCTTTCTTCTTCTGTACTAGTTGTTTGTACATACTTGCATTTTGCTTGTGAAAATACATAGAATGCATTTTTAATGAAAGAGAGCATGCAGATAGTGTTACTATCATACTTCACTTTCACTAATGCATATATGAAAAAAAATCAGCGGCTATCTTCTTCCAGTAGAGTCATAAGCCAGAAAAAACCTGGACGCTGTCCAGATCCCACTACTTGAGCCTCTGGCCTGTTAAAAAGCAGATGTGGATCAAGATGCAGCTATTTTTGCTGAATTTTGTGTTCAAAACTCCGCAATATCATTTATTCTGTGAAAAAAATGCATCTCCTGTTTTTGGTGAATCTAGTTCAGTAGTTACTTCAAATTACTTTCAAGTTACTTCTGAGTTGTGTACTGAATTTCTGAATATGTACTGGGAGATGTTTTATTATGTACATATGTTGTGTTTTTTTCCTAACAATTATGGCCATCCTCCATCTTGGCTAATATATTCATTGAAGATTGCTTTGATGGCAAGAAGCATTGAAATGATGCAGCAATAGGAAAAAAAAAAAAGAAAAGAAACTCATTCTTTTTAACAACTTTGCAGGAACTTTTGGCTCATGGCCTCAGCAACGTGATTCCTTCATTTTTCTTTTGCATACCAAGCGCGGCAGCGATGGGACGGACGGCACTGTTATATAGCACGGGCGCCAGAACACAGGTAATGGGATAGAGTGCTGTAAGTGGAAGGACACTGACCATGCTGCTCTGGACACTGGAGCTTGCTCTGATTAATCCACTGCATTCCACCATCCTGCAAAATCCCTATCAATTTTAACCATCTGCATGGAATTACGACTGTTTGGCAACAGTCTTAATAGAAAAACTAATGGCTCCACTTCTGCATTTTTACCTAATTTGACATAAACTTTAAAGTCTGGGACAGTATGGAGGTGAGGGTGTTGTATTTTCAGATTGCAGGAAACTACACAAGAGCCCTTTCAGTTCTGTGCAAATTTGTCAGCACTGTAACAAAAGTGCCCTCTAATGGCATCTAGTGGATTTATTGGTACAGGCTAACCTAAAGTGTTGTGTTGTATGTTTTGGGTTTTTTTTAATTATAATTAGTGATCCTATATGATTTTCAAAAGCAAATGAATGTAATGTTAAGAGTTGCTCCTAAAAGAAACAATGTGCTAACTTCTGTTCTGTGTCTTGGTGTATTTCTTCTGACTCTCACAATGCATTCAGACCACAGATATGGCATATAGTTTTCTCAGGATTTTTTTTGCATTCTGTTTGAAATGAAACTCGAAAGTTCCCATGGCAGTACCTCGGGAAACAGGGAATTGTAACTGAAGAAAATACTCACTGGGGTTCTGTAGTGCCGTAACCTGTCCAATCTGTGCCTGGGAACAAGAGAGGCAGCTAACTTGGTGTGAGATAGCACCATGTGGGTGAGCACTGAACTCTTTGTCCATACTGTGGAATTCAAGAGTCCATCAAGGTCATCCTATCGTATAAATGCTGTATCCTCAAGAGTTTGTTGCCATTGTCCTTTTATAACTCCTGCCCTTGCCTGTATAAAGGTCATTAATTATGAAAAGAACAGTAAAGGGATGTGACTGCCAAGGAAAAGCACAGTCTGTAGGTGGTGATTCTTCCTGTCTATATTCTACAATTGTTTCTCTTGCAGACACCACAATAGTAAGAAATGATACAAGGTTTTATTTCAAAACTATGCATGTTAATTACTTGCTAATTAGCCTATACACTTCTCTGAACTCTGTTAATCATAATGAATAATTTATCAAATAATCATCTTTAAAAGCATTCATATGCAAATAGTTTAGCTGCCATTTTGCTATTATCCACTTCAGATTTTTTTAGTTAGATTTAGTGTTATACCACGTGCCCTCACCATCACTGACATTCTCTTCTATTACCTGTTCATATCTTTCCAAATTAAAGTTTTACTGCATCATGACTTTTCTAAGACAGCTAATTAACCTGAATGCATATAGGGCATCTGAGCACTTTGGCTCAGGAACATATAGACAAAGGCCCCATTAGAAAGTCATTCAAGTTATAAGATGGAAAAACAAACCACCATGGCTTGAAGTCAAAGTGGGAAGTCCATGGTAAGAATAATGAATATCTGCTAGGTTTTATCCAGAAGTTTCATAGTACAGCAGAATTTGCATCCACAAGTTAGTGTGGTTGTGCACCAGCATTATGACAATACTTGAAATTATAATATTCTCTCACCTGTCTTCTTTGCCTATGTCTTAGAAAGCAATATATTCACTCCTGCCCATTCTTTTGGAGCTGTCTAGGCAGAATGAGCAACTAAGAAGAATAACTGTCATAGATGTTTGTCAGATCACAGACAAAAAGAAAAGCAATGGCTTGCTTTGCATACACAAAAAGACATGACAGAAATATGTGCAGCCTGCTTTTCTCCGAAGACCAAGCTTCAGATTCAGGGAAGTAATTTATTCTTCACTGCAGGAAGACAGGAATCCAGACCCAGCCATTCTGTCAAGTTTTCTATTTGAGTAGTTGGACTTGGTGATCCTGAAGGTCTTTTCCAACCTGAAAGATTCTGTGAGCTGTGATATTCTTTCTGAAAAAAGAACAGAAGTGAAGAACTATTTCATCGACTGAGCAGTGTCCTTCAAGTACAATCGACACGTTGTTTTTTATGTTTTGAACAGGCAGAGAAAGGCAAAAATTCCTTGTGACTCTGCCAGCAGATTTTGCATCCTTTTTTTCTGTAAAAACCCTATCTATCTCTCTTGATGGTATTTTAAAGTATGTCATGGCTCTCGTTTTCTGCTCTTTCAACAACATACTTGTTTTTATTTTTAACAACTTGTCTCTTAAAATGAAACAATTATTTTAGTGTGGAAAATTTTTATCAATATAAAAATAAACTGAGCATCTGTGTACTTACCATCAAAACCTTCTATGAATCTGGACTGTATCTTAGCACTTATTCAAGTGTCCCTAGCAGGGATTTGTTGAGGTGTTGATGGTTAATTTGGTGAGGTGGTGATCAAGAAACATGGAGGTGTGATGCTGAGGGTCATGTTTGCGGGCATGGTGTGGATGGGTTCATGATTGGGCTGGATGATCTTAGTGATCTTTTTCAACCATAATGATACTATTTATTTACTATTTGTTTGTTACCAAGACAGAAATGCTGTACTTTGTGAAAAGTCAGAGTAGAGTGGGAGACTACAATTTCAATGTAGTTCTCTAACAGATTAATACAAAGAGTACTGTGAAGTAACATACAATCTGTAGACCACGTTTGTTTAGATTCATGTTGCTTTCATCAATTATCATCATATATATATATAATATCAACATAATATTATATAATTTGCTGCTGCATTTTCTAAAGTAAAATACATAGCTTCTATAACATGCTGATCATTGGTGGTTTCTGACTGGACACAGTATCTTCAAGTACTCATCCCAGTGAAAGAGGTTAGAAAACTTTTCTGGTGCAAAAATCATAACACAGTTCTTCATATATAATTTTTGCTCAATGCAATACCAAATCTGTGATTTGATGCAACACAGAGTATAATTTTGTAATCATGTTACAGGATGACTGTGTGTGCTGCAATAGGTCTAAAATGAGATGTTACACAACACACATACCATTTAATAACTCTGAGTGGAGCTAAGGTTTGTGCCTGCTGACATCAGGGTCAAACACAGATACTGGTATTCCTTATTGTGTTTTCACTATAGTTGGCTAAAGGTAATCACCTCAGATAAAAACTGAAACTGCACAGTTAAACAACCTGTAAATACCTGGTATCTTCAACATCTCATTCTTGCCTCTGTCTACCATATATGGCAATAATGCTTTTTTACTTTTGTGTGTGCTTGAGTGATTGGATTTTCATGTTTTTTGTTTTAGGTGGCTTGCCTTATCTCTTGTGCATTAGTTCTTGTGGTGATCTACACGATTGGAACAATGCTGTACTGGCTGCCCATGGTATGGTACTATCACTTCCAGTATTTTATAAAGACTGAGTTTCTTTGAGGGAAAGATGGAACTATATATGAAACAACTCTCTTTAACTTCAATGGGACAAAGAATAGCAAGGGTAGAACGTGTCCCAGAATCATAAAATACAGAGTTGACTGCATAATACATGTAGAGTCTACACATATGTAGCTCCATATAAGCCTATCACATAGCTATAAAATAAAACATTTTTCTTCTACTTACTTTTGGCATGTAGTTTGTGGGAAATCTACATCCAGACTGTTATGGACAGATTGGCAGAGCTGAATAGAAATTAATGAAGGTCCACAATTTTACTCCAGTAATGCATATGATGTATGATTTTGCTTTTTAAATAAATGTAACACACATGATTGATAATAGAGATCTCAGTTTAATTAAAGTTCTTTTATCTCTGTCATGGGATGCACCCTTTACATTAAGACTGTAAAGCAGTATGGTCAGGTGTTTTTTCACCCCTTCCCACCTCCCTATTGCAAGTCTCTTTTTCTCCACCCTTCTTGAGTTCCCGAAGACTTCATCCTTCTCCCCATCGTTTCTGATTTGGAGAACAATAAATTATTGTGCCTGCCACAAAGCTAATCGATGTTGTTGGTTTTTTTTCCTTTAAAGTCTTTCCCTAGGCGATTAGAAAGGGGAATTGAATATTTTCACTGTAGACAATTTGAGTGCTTACTTGCTTTGGAGTCCCTCAGATGTCATTGATCTGGCAACACACACAGAATATTGGGATGTCTTAAAGTTTCTGTCATTTTCTCATAGTCAGGAGCCTTCTAAAATGCCTTCAAGAATGAAAAATTGATTTTGATACTATTATTGTTGCAACAGAAGAATATTTGTTCTTTATAGCATTTTTGAAACACTATCACCAGATTTTCAATAACTTGCTTTTAATATTGATTGCTGGGCTTGAGCAAGAAGATTCATCTCCTCTACTAATTCCATAATGAACTTTTTCTTCTTTCTTTTTCCAGTGTGTGCTAGCAAGCATTATCATTGTGGGCTTGAAGGGGATGCTAATGCAGTTCCGTGACTTAAAAAAATATTGGAATGTGGATAAAATAGACTGGGTAAGTGAGATCTAATCGTAGGAGGTTTTCCTGAAAGCCATTAAAAACACTTGCTAGATAAACTATAATAGTTGTGTGGCCCTAGAGGAGACAATTGCAAGTCATTGTTATTATTATTTCTGTGTATTATCAGCTTAATTTTTGTCTCACAATAGGAGCATCAGAAATATCAATTGTCTGCATCAGAAAAAGCAAAAAGAAATTTTGACAAACGATAAAGATCATAGTTCAATGCTGAAGATGTTTACAGATCTGGGCAGATGTGTATCTAATTTTGTATTCCTACTCTGGCCAGTTAGCATGCTTTTATTACTGCATCAAAAAGATCTCACTATCTTTGTTCTCTGTGTATATGGAATGACTGTACAGGACAAGCAGAACTGGAAACACGGGAGATGCAGAAAGATGTATGTCCTAAGATGATGTTATTTGCTTCAACTCTCCAAGATTTTGCAAACAGATACAAAAATGTATTCTTTTATCATATGAAAGATTATGCAGTATGAGAGATGAAACAGAACATAAAGAGCAGATAGACAGAAAGAAACAGTGAGAAAATACAATTTAATACAAGATCTGAGCAGTCTGACATGCATTTACACAGAATTTCCAGCAAATATTGAAAATGAGTCATGTTTCGGAAGACACCTAATTTTCTCTCCCATGGGAGTTTTGAATGCATTGGTCAGTAAGCAGAACCCAGGCCTCTAACTGCTTTATAGCTTGTATAAACAAACTGACATCCTGTAGTGATTTTGTAACTCCTATTTTTGCAATTTCAATTAACAAATACTCAGAAAGGTATTTTGGCCCTATTCCCCAGTTCTGTGGTGAGAGGTAAAGGTTTCTGGAGATAATATTGGATTTTGTTGGACTCTACGGTGATTTAGCATTCTCCTGCAGTAATGGTCACTCCAGCTGATTAGAACATCTATTTTTTTTTATTTTATATTTTTGTTGAGTACTGAATTTCAGTGTTGAAAGCAGAGTTGTGTGAACCCTGCTTTGTTCAGGTTTGACTACCTGATGTTTCTCCCTTTCCAAGATAGAAGACTAGAGTTACATGTTTTGTGTCAATCAGAAGAAGAGCTCTGTCTTTCACAAAATCTTACATTCCTCAAAAAGCAAAATTCTGAATATATTTTTCTCTACTTGTGCTGTACTTGGTCTTCATTCTAACCCAGTTATAAAAACATAGGATGGTGTGGATCAAAAATTATTTTGGGGATAGTGGGCCTCAGAAAATTTGTATGAGGGAGCTTAGCTCCTCCAACTGTACACTGATTTCATAAGTGAAGTTTTTCAGCAGACTATTCTGCTAGACTTGATGCATTTTTATAGGTAGAATAAGCTGATTGATTTTTGCTCTTGTGATTTTGACAAAAAAGGATGAGTGAATAGTTATAACATCTCTGGCATCTGTTATGATTTTTAGGATAGGTTATAGGGAGAGAGAGCTTCCTGGGCTTATCTTTTTGACTGAATATACTTGGAAAATGATTTATCTTCAAGTAGTTTTGCCATCAGTCCTTAGCCTGACAGGATAAATCAGCTTGCTTTAAACAGCATTAATCTAAAATAAAACTACAAACATTGATCTCATATTGCTGCCTAGGCTGAGAAGCCCCACTAAGTACAGTGATTTGAATAACTTCGGTGGTGTTGATTTTGGACTGAAAGATTCACCCCAGAACTGACAGCCTTTTGGAAACAAATCAGTTCCATTACCCAGGTTATCCAGAGCATTTTGAAGAAAAAAAACCACTGACAGAACATTTGGAAATAATTAGCAGCTGTTCTGGAAATAATTCTTTAAGGGATATAGAAGACAGGTTTGTTATGCTCATGTGTCTGGCAAATAATGCATGGAAACGGACCATTACAGTTTTTCTTACCTTGCTCCTTCACACTTAAACTTCTTAATGAACATGAACAGCATGAGTAATACTGTTTGATTAGTGATTTATACAACATAATCCTTTGACATATGAAAGGTAGCTTGAAATCTCTCAATTCAGCCATGGATTGCATTTTCTTGCAGATCTAATGCTTAGAAGCAGCCAAGTTTGAAGGATCACGTTGATACAGTATGTTATCAACTTGATATTACTACATATATTTGTTTCAATTTTCTTTCAATTTATCAGCCTCGGGAATATCCTGTTTTTATATCCCATCTCTCAAATCACATTCAACTTCTTTCCAGCTAGAATCCCACGGTTCTTGCTCCAGAGTCCTTTTCTGCCACTCACAACTTTCACATAAAGGTCTCTTTTTTCAGTGAAGACTTTTTGTCAGTCCCAGCACCTTCTTAGATGACTTCAGTCATTTCAGATCTAAGCTTCCTCTTTTCTACTTATATTTATTGTAAAAGAACTGCACATATTCATAGCTGTATGCAATACAGCATTTCTTCTCTCTCTGATGTCTTCGTATTTTGGATGCTTGCAAGGTGTTGTTCCCTGAATTATCTGTTTTGTACACTGATCTGGAAATGACTTCTCTTGAATTTTTCCTCTTTTTTGGGGAACTACCAAAAAGTTGATCTGGACTTCTTAAGTGTATCTCTTTTTTTATGTTATCAATTCAAGAATTGATTTCCATATCCTTCCTGCTAGCCTAATTTCTTCTTGCTAAATAAGTTCCCCCTTTGTAAGGGAAAAGGTCAGTAATGTTCTTGTTATGTTATGTTCTTAAGGCTGAAAGTCCCAGATGAACAGCAGCTATTTAAACTAGACAAAGACTGATAAAGGAGTGCCAAAGAAGAATATTATTTTGCTAAGTCCAACTGTTGGACTTAGAAATGACCAAATGCAGGGAAACGTATTTCAGTTAAACAAATATATAAAAGAGATTTAGAATATTCAACAGAGAAGCATTACTACATTTAAAGAGAAAAAATATTAGAAATTAGAATCATAGAATCATTAAAGTTGGAAAGACTATTAAGATCATCTAATCCAACTAGAACCCATGCCTGTGACTCCTCTAGACCATGTCACTTCATTAGTGACCTTTTCTTAAAAACCTCTAGGGATGGTGACTACCACCTTCCTGGGCAACCTGTTCCAATACCTCACCCCAGTTCTGGAGAATAAATTTTTCTCAGTACCCAACCCAAACCTCCCCTGGTGCAACTTGGGGACATTACCTCCCATCCTGTTGTTGTTACCCGGGAAAAGAGGCTGGCCTCAAAATCACCACAACGACCTTTTGGGTAACTGTAGAGAATGATGAGGTCTCACCTGAGCCTTCTCTTCTCCAGATTAAACAACCACAGCTCTTTTGGCCACTCCCTATAAGGCTTGTGCCCTCACCAACTTCCTTACCTTTTTCTGGACACACTCCAGGGCTTCGATGTTTTTCTTATACCGAGGGACCCAAAACCAAACACAACACTGAAGGTGCAGTCTCACCAGTGCTGAGTACAGATAAACAATTACCTCTCTGCTTCTGCTGGCAACTCTGATACAAGCCAGGATGCCATTGGCCTTCTTGGCCACTTGGATACACTGCTGGCTCATGTTCAGCCAGCTACTAGCACTCTCAAATCCTTTTTCTCCATGCAGCTTTCCAGCCAGTCTACCCAAAGCCTGCAGCAATGCATGGGCTTTTTTGTAACTGAAATGCAGGACTCAGCACTTGTTAAAGATCATACAATTGGCCTCAGCCCAGCAATGCAGCCCATCCAGGTCCCTCTGAAGGGCCTTCCTATCCCCAGACAGATTGACACTTTCTCCCAGCTTGGTGACATCTGCAAGCTTACTGTGGGTGCACTCAATGCCCTCATCCAGGCCATCAATAGAGATATTGAACAGGACAGGCCCCAATACCATCTCCTGGGAAGCACTGCTCATGACCAGTCACCAACTGGTTTTAACTTCATTCACCACCGTTCTCTGGGCCCATCCAGCCAGCCAGAATTTTTATCCAGCAAAGAGTACAGCTGATCAGGCCAGGAGTTGCCTTATTCTCCAGGATAATACTGGATATGTCAGCGTCTGATAGTGTTATTTTTCTCCATGAAAGCTCTTTATGTTTCAACCTTTTAAATTATCACTGTTGTCTTCTATGCCATCTATAAAGATTTTTCTGCACTTTAATCTGCAGAAAACTTAGACCATGTTCCATCAAGAAAAAAGTCCACCAACATTTTCTAACAGCGCTCTCACTGTATGAGTGACTTGGCCTGGAAATGACCAGAGCTGAGATAGATCGAAGTTGTACTCTTGACTTGTAAAAGCGGAAAGAATAGCAACAATTTATTGTAAAAATTACACACTCCTTTTGCGATACCGTGATGTGAGAGGTACTGATGGATGCATTAATTGCATATGTATGCATATATTTTAATTTGTAAGAGGCATAATGAATGATACTAACTACAATTAAGGTAGTGACAAGATCGGGCTTACTTCTGATAAGTGCCCTCCAGCATCTTTCCAGAGAGGGTTTTCCAACACAAAGCCACCAACCTGTCAAACAGTTTTGTCAAAATAGATTGGAGTAGGAGGATCAGGGAAGGTCTCTCATGGAATTTTGGAGCCCACCAGTATAATTTTATGTATTTTAGAACATTTTAACATTTCATCCTCATGAGGGAGATAGCCTTTTAGGTTTGTTCAGGTATTCAGTATGGTGGGGCCCTCCTTCTTGAGAAAGCTCAGAAGGCTTTGCTGTATAACCAATTTTTTGCCGAGTAGCAAGCAAGCCATCTCTTCTATTATAATAATTTTACATACTAGCGAGACTTTTTTATCCCTCCAGCACTGGAGACATGAGTTACATTACTTTTGTGGTAGCTAGTTTGAGTTGATTGGGAAGGGGTTTAAAAGTGCTTAATCCTATGTGCATTGCAATCTGTTCCTGTGCAAATGTTATCAGAAAGTGCTGTAATGGTTGAAATGGACACCTGTGAAGAACAGTATATTCATAGAAGTGAAAATACTTTCCATTCTTCTTTAACACTTTTTATTTGAAGATAAGGTGGCAGTCTTTGCTGAAGGATCCCTCAGGCAAAGAAATATGTGCTGGATATCCTTGACATCAGGTCTATATAAGAAATCAAGTCAGTTATACTTTTCTCCTTTTAATGTAAAAATCTGGATATCTCTATGTCACATACACCATTATGGGATGGAAATATGAGTAATCTCTTCTGTCTCTTCTGCTTAAAAAATAAATTAAGACAATTTTTTGAAATGTAAACATTTTTTCTTCTTCATATTTAAAAATTCTTTCTGCAGCAACTTTTCTTCCCGATATTCTTTGCACTTTTAAAAAAAAACTTAAAATAAATTCAAACATTGAAAGATGGGGAAGCAATCTGAAAACTCACCATTTTAATGTCAACTGATTCATTCCTCAATAATTTTTAATTGTTATAGAGTTGGTTTAGTCAGCTGTACTCTGATAAATGCCACTTCTGATTAACTTCCTTGCAAATTATAATTCCCACTTAGGTAATTAGTGGGAGAAGAGTTCTCTGTGTGTGACCTTTAGAGTACTTCATTGTGTAGAAGGGAAGAAGGATTTTAGCTGTGTGCTGCAAAGAAAGTAGCGATAACTTGCAAGGTGAATAATCAATTACAGTTTTAACCAACCAACCTAGTTCATTCCAAATTAAGCTGCTAGCACAATTACTTGTACTATTTTAAGGAAGTCCAGAATGATCTTCTGTGAGCATCGGGAAGAGCAGGATGTCCTGTTACACGTGTTCTACAGTGGAGAGATGTTATTTTGATGATAACTCAGATACTTGCCAGTTCAAACATCTAAATGCTCACCTCTCAGAAACTACTGGCTTTTTTTTATTTCTAACTCATAAGATGTACATCATTACAAAATGATCATCTAATCATCTCTTTCTGTTTCCCTCCTTGAAGAGCATATGGGTTACTACCTACATGTTCACAATCTGCTTTGCTGCTAACGTGGGATTGTTGTATGGTGTTCTCTGCACAATAGCAATTGTGATTTTCCGCTTTCCCAGGTGAGATGTAATTTATTGAAATGTTCTAGTAGCACATAATTATGTATTCTTTCTGGAACACTGCTTCGCTGTTGGGATATACCTACACTACACTAAATTTAACAGTGAAATCTCAGTTTTCAGTTGTACAGAATGCTGGGATGGCTGAGGTTGGAAGGGACATCTGGAAGCCATCTGGTCCAATTCCTGCCCAGGCAGATATGTACTACCACCTAGTAGTACGTATCTGTTTCACTCACTAGATGAAAGTAGCACAAAGTCATCAGGATAGCCAACAATACATTTTTCTTTCATTTCATACTGTTACTCGTGAAGAATATTTCTGACAAGACTTAGTAACAAAACTCCTTTATCAACTGCTAGATACTGCATTGCACAAGAGTTGCAAGCTGATATTTGCCTTGCTAAAACACATTAATGAAAGATAATTGCATGACATGCTCTAATGCCTGAAATTTGCTTTATGGATCCTATCTATGAATTAGAGAAGTTGGGATGAAGTATCTAGAGCTAAAACAAATTCAGATATTCTTTTTTCATATATTACAGTTGCTAATTTTGATTAAGAGTAAAGGAAAAACATTGTTTTGGGTTTATGATCATTGCATACTACAGAATTAATCCATAACTCACCAGTCCTATGAATGACTTGCTGCCTGCAGGCAGCTGTTTGCAAGAACATTTAATTGCACAGGAATTAAATACAATATAGACAGCTCGATTAAATGCTTGTTAAAGTTATGCAGAGCTCTGTTCTTACAGGATAATTTGCAGAATCAGCGTGAAAATAGCTCAGAATTGCAAATTATTGCAAATGATTTCTGCTTGAAACAATCAGAACCTTACTGGTAATCCCCTGCTGCTTAGAAAACTATTGGTAAATTCTTGTTGTAAAGGAAAGTTTTCATGTTATTCGCACATTTGGATGTCTGTTGATCTGCAACAGAAAAGGGAGAGATATTTGACACAAAAAGTAGGATCCTCTTTTGTCCGACTAAAACCTTTGTCTGAACCTGCACTAGTTAACTAAGTAATACTCTTTCCATTGATTTGTGTGGTCTTCCATCAGATTGTACAGGATTGTCCATGCAATCTAAGGGCACCAAAAGAGCTAACAACCTTAAAAAGTGCACTGCACAGGTGAGATTATCATGAGAATATGCAGTAAGTCAGCCAGTCATGGCCAAACATGTTCTGACTAATGACTGCTGCAAAAGAGTTAGACGCTAAAGCATGAAAAATAACTTGATGATTTATTATGAAATCTCTGTTCAGACACCAGAGCACTGGACGTGGTATGTTATATATCAGGATGCATTAAAAACAGCAGCAGCTACAGTAAGATTTATGCAGACAAGAAAGAACAGCTGAGTTTTGCAAGCCTCATTTAGCCAACCCCAGTACTTGTAAATACTCCCTGTGCATTGCCTTGTCTAGTTCTGGGATTACTCTCATTGCCTAGCTTTAGGCACAGATCTCAGATGACAGCTAGCTTTATAGACTTCTTGTTCTGCACTTTAATGCATTCCTACAGAGAGGTATGGATGCAGAAATTCCTATACTGAACTGCCTGTTCAAAGCAACTTTCCACTGACCATATAGAGAGCATAGGGACACTGTTTTTTCCAACTGAGTCCTCCACTTTGACAGCTAGAGTGCAGCGTTCTGCTTTGTCATACAGACAAGCACCAGTTTTAACTACAAATAAATCATCCTTAAAGGTTAAAGGTAGAAAATGTTAATTAAATCTCTGAGCTTTTGAAGTGGTAGTTCATGTATTAGCTACCTTGATTTGAGACTAGCTCTGGCCAGGTATAAAATGGTAGCGAAAATTAAAATAAAGATCTTATTATTTGCAGTTGAACAAAATAAAATTCTATTAGATTTTCAAAGTGATGTACTGTAACTCTGAAATTTGCCATTTACTCTTTTGACTACACTGTCATTATGATAAATAAGCTTTATAAGCAGAAAAATACATATGTAGAAAAATATGTATGGATAGTATTGTCATGGAATCGTAGAATAGTTTGAGTTGGAAGGTATCTTAGAAATGATCTTGTTCCAACCACCCTGCCACAGGCAGGGACACCTCCCTCTAGACCAGGTTGCTCAAAGCCCCATTCAGCCTGGCCTTGAATACTCCCAGGGAGTATTCAAGTAAAGAATATCTTCCTAATATCCAGTCTAAATCTGCCCTCTTCCAGTTTAAAGCCATTTCCCCTCATCCTGTTGCTACCTGCCCTTATAAAACGGGCAGCTATCCTGTAGGTCCCTTCAGGTACTGAAAGGCTGCAATGAGGTCCCCCCAGAGCCTTCTCTTCTCCAGGCTGAAGAGCCCCAGCTCTCTCAACCTGTCCCGTAGGGGAAGTGCTCCAGCCCTCTGATCATCAAATAATTACCATAATTGCCATACATTTAGACTTCTGTGTTACGGTTTTGGGGTGTCTTGTATCTTGCTCTTTCTGTTCATGTTTACTAATGATTTGACTCACATATTTTCTGTATGTGCTGATTACAGAGAAAAGACACTGAATTTGAAAAATATGAAAGAAGTGGAATATAAATACAAAACTGAAGATAATTGTGTAAGTTAAATCCAACCCCCCTCTTTTTTTTTTCTTTTTTTTTTCTTTTTTTTTTCTCTGTGTCGTCCTAATTAAGGCTTGTTTGTCTTCTGTAGTTGGTTACCAGATTATAATCAGTGTGTCCTTTCTTACAAAAGGCATTTCAAATCTAAAGCCAGGATGACATAGTGGATAGAAAAGTAGCCTTGAGTCTCAGGGAATTGGACAGCTCTTTCTATGTTCTTGTCAGATTTCCCCATTTCCTGAAAGTCCTTTGGTACGCCCACCATCCACTATCTCTTTTCTGCCCCTGACACTGCCTCCAGCCCCAGTGACCTGACTCCCAGAGGAGGCCATGTGTGCGAGGCAGCATCATGAAGTGTCACGGGCTGCTTCATGCACCTCACTTCTCAGGCAAGTGTATCCTCATGTGATAAGTGGATGTAAGCATTTCTCCCAAAGACTGTGTTGTTTAAATTTGCTTTGTACAAACTTAAACCTACCAACGAGAGGTTTTAAATTCTTTTGGTCGTTTTCATTACAATTACCATCAAAGCTGCTTGTGGTCAAGCCTGTGGTAAGAAGAGATGGGTAACAACCCAGAGAGGTGACCTCCCTCCTTCAGAATGAAGCTTTAGATCAGTAGCCAACAGAAAAGTGGAACCATGTGTCCTTCCAGCATAGAGTCCCGTCACTGGGACGTCCTGAGCTCTCCATCATGGAAGTTTCTGTTGTGTCTGCTTTCCTTTCCTAATAACTGTGAAGGGTCAAATGTAATATGTTCACAGTTATTACCTGTTATTATTAAGAAGCTCTCTTCTAAATATTCTTTTTCTGGCAAATGTTTTCTATCAGAGCTATCTTGGGCGCAACATCCAAGCTTGGGTTGGGTGGTTTTACCATTCTGGCATGCTGAACAATGCTGGAATGTGAGAGGCACGTAAGAATGGAGAGTACTCTAAAACATAAATTTAAAACACTGCTATTGAAGCTGGTCCAGTTGTCAATTATATCACTTGTCGTTCTTGAGGAAACTGTTAGAATAACTTTGTCAGAGATGGGCTACCAAAATTTGCCTGCTTTTATTTTTTATTTGCTTTTGTATCAATTCATACAGTATTTGTATGAATCTCTGTGCATCTTTTTTTTTTTTTTTTTTTTTAAGCTAACTACTCCCCAGCTTTTTAATCATTAAGATTAATGCCAGCCACCAAGTAATAACGAACTAGTGTCTGCAGGCACTGAGGAAAATAACATTTTGTTAAGAAAGCAAATTGCTCAAGAGCTTATTATACAAATAAAGAAAAATATTTTTAAGATTTATAAAAAATGCTTTTAATTTAATTTATGGAGCCACTGGGTTGCAGCAGTCATTTAGGGTAATTTTTAATGTATGTGTGTTAGAGTTATCCATGTTCCTCTGGTAAATAATAGCTTAGACATAAGTAACAGAGCTTTTTAAACACAAAAATATGCAAGCTTAATGATCTACCCTGCCATTAAAGTCTGTGGATTTATAGGGATTATTTCATCCATAGGAGAAATGACACTTTAATGTGGAAAAAAATCAAGAGGGTGTTTAGAAGTTTGTGTGAAACAAATTGCATCACAGGCATTCACTAACATGAATTCTTACCCAAACATAGAGAGAGTTGTGCAGAGCGTGAGGGGCAATTGTAAGCATCCTAAGTGACAGAGGGAATAAGCCACCCATAATGACCATTTTCTTCTTTTCTGGGCAAGAACATGATAAAAAAGAAATGCATTTTTCTTAGAACTGTTCTTCTTAAGACAAGAGCTAAAACTCAACTCGAGTCAAGAATAACTGAATCAAATTTGGGTTGCCCATTTTAGGCAAAAGGTTATACCTAAGTGTTCCCCCTGCTTGAATGTGTTTCAGCAGATAGCCTTTCCCTTGCAGAGGTGTTTGATTCTATGATTCTACAGTTTGAATCTTTCACATCTTTCACCTTTTTGATCACCAGAGACTTTGATCTTTGCACATTTATCTTTTTATTTTTCTTTTATTTTTATCTTCTACTTGGTCAGCTCTGGTATGGCACCAAAGTTCTCACTTGTCTCCACACCAAGCTCTGTGTAGGATAGTTTTTAAGGGAATCTGTAGGATTTCAGAGTATTTCTGCATTCAACCATGTATTGCTCTCTGTTTTGTCCCTGTTTTAGAGCCTGGTTTTCATATAATTTTGGCCATTTTAATTGCCAGTTAGGCTTTGCCACTTGACTGACTGAGACATTTAGGTGTTGTGATGTTCACCATAATCAGATTCATAGGTAAACTGCACAAATCACAATATGTAGACTGGGCTTCATTGCCACAGTTTTGGATATTTGAAATGTTTAAGTCTGTATGATGGCTGCTGCGGTGGTGTCCAAGAGATTGCCTTGTTCCCAGAAGTCTGAATAATAGCTTGCAATGAGGAGGTAGTGTGGTTTGTGGTAAAGATTTCCAGTCCTATTTTGCTTGAAGGTCTGTTGGGAAAATTGTTTCTTCAGTGCAATCCCATGCTTCTTTGAACGACTACAGAAGTGGTCTCTGTGTCAACTCCACTTACTTCTGTAGGAGTGTGGCCTAGTTAAGTAACTTTAAATGTCTCTGACTTTTGTTAGGAAGAATTGAAACTTTTGAAGCTTATATTCTCTTTCAAAATGTCTGGGATTTTTATCTCTTTGTTTTCTTACTGCTGATTACTTGTCATGATTAGTTCATTTTTGGGAGCTGACACTTGTATAAATTAGATTTTTTTTTTTTTGTAGTGAAAACTATTTCAGTAATGAAAATAAATATAGAGATTTTTAACGTTTTACTTTTAATGTTCAGTTGTGGATTCAAGGATCATATTTTTCCATCATCTGTTTGCAAAAAGCTCTGAGATTCCACAAATAATCTTGAGATCCCCTGCATCCATGAAAGACACACCTAAAAGGCAAATTAATTCTACTGTGTTTTTTCCAACTGGGCTATATTAGTACAGTTATTATGGATATTTAAAGATCTCTGGTTGTGTGCCAGTTGGGTAGAAAATGCTCCTGAAAATACTGGTAAGTTTTACAGGCTATACATGATCCTTCCTATTCCTATTTTGCAGCACTAGTCGCATAAAAACTCAATATAGTTATTTATTTGAATATAATCAAATAACATTATAACTAGATGTAGTATCTTTTACTAGATAAGATAATACACTTGGAAAAGCAGAAGACTTTAACAGCCAACAGACCTTTCCTCAAGTCTGAAATGCAAGAAGTAGACACCAAAGCAAGTGAGAGCTGCTGCACAGTGAGTGAGGTCCATCTGAAATAGTGACAGAGAGCCAGTATTTGGTATCTATGCTACCATATATGATTATTTCCCAAGGAAAGAGACGCACAGTTTATAACCTGTGGAAACTGGATGTATCACTAGAATTAGGTTAATTCAGTCCACATATAAAAGCTGCATCACAATTAAGTTAGGGATGATAATACCCAATGTTTTTATATATATGAGGGCTGCTCTGAAAGTAATGCCTCCTCTTTTATTATGTTGGCCCACCATGTCAGCAGCTAATGTTGGTGCAATGATAGTAGAGGCTGAACCTTCCCACCAGTATTCCATTACATTTTGTTACCATGTGACAGATGGCAGCAGAGGGGCATTGTGGTATCTGACTTGGAAGTGCAGATGAAGCAAAGGTATGTACTGAATTCCTCTGTGCAGAAAAAGTGGCACCCACAGACATTCATTGATGCTTTCTCAGTGCTTATGGAGACCAAACAATGAATGTTAGCACAATGACTGTGTGGGCAATGTTTTCCTAAGAATGTCACTGTCATAGGCATCTGTGAAATGGTGAGTCATTTCTGCTAGTGCAGTTTTTTACAAGCGCAGCATGCAGGCTCTTGTTCATTTCTAGTGAAAATGCATAGATAATTGTGGTGACTATGTTAAAAAATAGGTTTTTTAGCTGAGAGTTTGCTCTATCAAATAGCATTATTGTGCTCTTTGTATATTTTGTAGTTTCCATGAAAATAAATAAGAGGCATTACTTTCAGAGCAACCCACATACATATACACATTATTACTAGCTTTTGACAGTGTTTTATAAGTTCACCTTAAGAACAAGAGAAAAACTGTGTATTTTGTGGGAAGTGTTCTTCCTTGGTAGCTGGGCGTTTCTGACTTTTGTCTGTTTTCCTTCCTTATTTGTTCTGGTGTGTAACAGCTGTGCTTTGAGTTATAGTTTCAGTGATGTTTGGATGAAACTTTTTAGGAAAAAATGTGAAGACAGGATCCAGAGTAGTTGATGGTTCTTTGTGTGTGCTAGCGATGTTAAAACGTGTCCCTCAGACTAAGTCTGGATCCAGTCGGTGCAAGTAGGACCATCAAGAATTTGCACATGCTCAAGAGCTCAGTGAGGTGAGAGTGGCTCCAGGAAGATTTCTTCCCAGGCAGGAGCTTCAGCTAGAAGCTGTACCTCTTAAACAATTCTCAGCTCTAGCTCAGGGAGATGTGAGAACCATGGTTGCAGGTTTGGTGGGATTTCCCCCCACTACTAAAGCCAGTGCTGGCTTTTTTCATTTCCATGGAGAAGTATCCCTGTTGTACTATGATAGTCCTCAGGAATCTGAGGTTAACATTATGAGTGTTCCCCAGACCCGACACAGTGTATACTCCCAATTTTTGTCTACTTTTTCCAATACATGTTTGCACTATAGAAGATATTCCCAGTCTGTAACCCTTGTCTTGTCTGTGTCTGCAGATTATGCCAACTGAAATAGTGCTCCTCCCATTTGCCTGATGATAGCTCTTGAACTTGTGCTTTGTAATGAATGTGATTTTGCTTTTGTGTTAACTTGAATTATGGATAATTTCCCTGTAGATTTCTTATTTCCTCCTTAAGTGCAGTTGCATCAAAGCTGATCAAGGCAGCTATCTGTTAACATCCTCACAACACAAAGTTAATTCTGGGTTGATTTACAGGAATTGTCAGGATTTTTAAAGAAATCACTTTTATTTATGTATATTTCCAAAACAAATATAAACTTCAGCATTTTGTTTATTTCACTCCACAGGAATCATTAAAACAGGTAAAGATAGTTTCAGTCAGCAACCCATTAGTCTTTCTCAATGCCAGAAAGTTTCATGCAGACCTGATGAAGATAATCCAGAAGGATAGCACGAGCAGCCAGGCATGTGAAGATGTAAACAAGGTAGGATGTGCTACATGATTCAGTTATCATGGTGACAGTACTGAAGTTCATGATTACTTTCCCTGCATTTCCAATTTCTATACTATTAGTACTGGAAAACAAATAGCACACAAAAAAAATTACTTGTTTTTTGGAAAATATCCCAGAAAAGATCATATTTTTTCAAGTTTATTTGCACACAACTATTGCAAATTCCACGATGTTCCTAAAAGGGAAAAAAATACACATTATTCTTTCTATCATTACAGTGAAAGCATTTCAGTACAATAAGATAAAAAGCTAACTGTAGCCAAATTCATCCAGTTTGATGAACTGGACTGAGGAAATCACAGCCATTTCCTAAATGGTTTGTTAATAATTAAGAACTGAAGAATCATAGAAAGATTGAATGGCCTGGGTTGAAAAGGACCATAATGGTCCACAACCTCTGCTGTTGCCTACTGAAGAGCTGTGCTGCCCATACCTATTCTTCACTGTTTAGAAATTCAGCTCTGAAATTTTGCTGTTTTTCCCCTTGGTTCTGTTAAATTTTAATTTAATAAGATAGCAAGTTAATAAGTTAATTTATAAGTTCCTTTATGTGTTACTAAGGAGGGAGATGTTATCCTTTGTCTATTCTAGAAGGTACTTGGCGATGCAGCTACCTGAAATACGGTGCATAGTGTTTGGTACCTGTGTGGAATAACTGTCTTTCTACAGAACACAATGGAAGTGAAAAAAATTGTGGTTTGAATTTTGTTTCTGTGCTGTATTTCTCTTTTAAACGTATATTGGCGTATATATTCATGTGGAAATCAGTATGGAAACATTTATCTGGATAAAGGTAACTCGTTAATAACTTCATGTGTCAGAATTTTTCTCACAAAAATCTAAATGAGATTTCATCAAGTAAAATGTGAGTCAGAAGCTAATCTTATAAAATTTCTATCAAAAGCAAAATTTTAGTTACAAGCTTTAGAGTGAATCCAGACATCATAGAGACTGAGTTTTGTGGGGGAAAAAAGGGGGGGGAGACATCTACTTGATAGATCTTTAGAAGAACAATGAAAGTCTTACTCAGCAAATGTGTCCAATAGACTGTTGCATGCAATATGATTTTGAGAGAAGGAGTTAACTTTGATATAGAGAAACAGAATTCTTGTGTATTGCACTGATTTTCTCTGGTTACTCTGCATCGGGTTCGTTTTCCTTGGTATGCTAATTGTTCATTGCTTTTATTTCAGTGTGAGCAGAACACATTACTCTGCTCATTTTCCAATGGAGGTTGTCATGGTGAGTTTGTTATCTATACATTATATTAAAACCAGGATGGATGTAAGTTTGCAAAATAGCTCCAGATTTTTCTATTTATTTCTAGGCAAATTCAAATTGTCTGGAAACTTATATTTTTTCAGATCACACATTCAGTGAAGCGTGAGTTCTAACAGTTGTTAAACTCCATTAACCTTGGCCTAATGGGTCCTGGTTTTATTCTGTTCTTGACTGACTTTTTAAGATTTCAAAAGTGAGGAACCAGTGAAAATACATTTTCTGTAGGGGTCTCTTATTTCACACAAATCACCATATGCATACTGATTCAGGTATGGAGTGGGAGCATCACTAAGAACATTGCTACCTTCCTTGGTCTTCAGCCAAAGAAACAAATAAACCATTTTGTTAAGCTCTGCTCCTGAGTTATTTTTAGTTCACGGTGAGACTTGAACATTAGTACGCAAAACTAAAAATAGGATGGGATGAGAACCATGCGAAGTCTTTGTGGTCTTTGAAGGCACTGAAGAGAAAAACTCAATAAATGTCAGCTGAACAATCGGTGACGCTATGGCCACCAGTACAGTACAATATAACACAGTTTGCTTTCAATTAGGGATTATGCTGAATGATTCTACTCATCCCACAATTTATTGGGCTTAAATCAAACCAGAGCACACACATTCTCCTGGGACCACTGCAACAACCTTTTGCAGAAGATACTTTATACAGATGACTTCATTGTGGAGGGATTTCCAATGCTGTGTTTATTTAAAACACGTACAAGCACTGAGACCTCAGTAGGGAATCTGATCTGTGGGCTGTTTTCTGACAGTTCACACTTATTAACTAGGCTCATGACATTTTTATGATATTGCAGTGTTTACTTTACTTGGGTGTGATAGAATGCTTTCTGCAACACGCAGTAACGTAATGATGATGGCTCTTGAGGACTATACAGTGCTGTACTGTGAAACAGTACATAAGTGAACAGCACTGTATTTGTGAAAAGTCTTTTGGAAGGTCTTGTCAGTATGCATTTCTGTCTTCATTTGAATAAGTTGGTTTCTTATGTTACAGAAATGACAGACAGCACAAGAACTCATTTTTGGTTTCCCTGAGGACTTAATTATTATACCTTGTACTGAGCAGAGTAGGGTGACTCTTCATGGGAACTGAAAACAAAGACCGGAGAGAAAAAAAGAATAAGAAAAATCCCTTTCAAAGGATAATAAAACAAGGGGCTTGAATTTCTAGGAAGTGGAGGGAAAGGAAGACATAATCCTTATTCACACAGCAGTCATCTTGGAAAGCATGGCAGCTTTTTTCAAATCTTTCCCTTCTACCTCTAGGGAATACTGATTTGACATGGCCTATATCAGCACGATGTTAAATAGCTTCTGCTGCCTTTGCCCAGTCATTTAGAGAAGCAATAGGTCTGTACCCGCAACCCCTCCACTGAAATGCAGGATGCCAGCTAGGTAGGAGAGTAATGCAAGATCAGCATTGTCTCTGTATTTGCATTTGTACATGTGTGAATGTGGCTTGACCTTCACAAGGTTTGTCAAGATTTCTGAGTATAATAATACTAGAAGTTTTTCGTATTGTGCTGGTCTAACATCAGCCAAGCACAGTTCATGTGTAAGGTGATCTCAGCCTCTGTGCTGGGATGCAACATTTCTAGGCTAAAGCAATTTGTATTGTTATCCTTCTGTCCTTTCCTATTTATTTCCTTTTCTATTTATTTTTTCTGCTATTCTGAAGAAAGTTACATGCTATTACATATGTTCAAAATCTATTCTTCAACTGCCAAACACTGAGTTTTATGTAAGCACTGTAACAACCAAAAAGGGAAATTCAACCCCAGGGCATTTTTTAAAGTAAAACTTTTGGAACCTGCAGATAGAATTGTGCATGTGCTTTTTGAGGGAATAAGTAACAGAGATAAAAGGTTCTTCTGTTTTGGAAACAAAGGAGGTGTGTAGAAAAGATGACAGTGAGTAGCCCAGCAGATCTCATAAATCCTTTCTGGGTTTCCACTACAGTACTGCCAGGCTGCAGGTTTCCTTTGAAATTCCTTATTTTGTTTGCAGTGCATTTATTCATGTATACTGGATGGCAAATCTCTGGAGGTGCAAATCCGAAAGGCTCTGACTCTCAGACTCCTGTCAGAAAGGAATTAGCACCATTATAAATCTACTTGACAGGGAAATACTGCACGCCCTCAGGATTTTAAAGCTTTTTCCTCTGCTTTGTCAAAACCATGTCTATTAACCTATCTTTGCATTCAAAATAACTCTCCTTTTTTGAGTTTTATGTTTTACGATAACTGATATTAAAGCTGTTATTTACCCACAGAGCAGTGTAAATAAGATGTACGTTATTTTCTTGTCTTCCTTTTATGAAAGCCAGGAATCATCTATGTGCTAGTTCAGGACACACTTACTATAGTATGTGCTTAGATTAAAAATTATGTGTATGTGCTTAGATTAAGCACATGGTGGCCAGGAGCTGAAGAATGAATATAAGAAGACCTTCACAAATCTTACATTTTTTTCTCTAGCATCAATATGTGATAGCGTATGTATGTGAAAAATAACCAAACGAAAAACAGGGAAAATAAAACACTTCACTTTACAGACTTGTCTTCCTTGTAGGAGAATATTAGTTAAAGCAGAAGAAAGTGTTTAGTTACTACAGAAATGAACGCAATATCAGAATCTGCTAGAGATATTTGCTCTGTGAATCCCACGTGAACTTTCCCAAACAAGCCAGGCTCATTTAGAAATTTAAATGTGAAGACGAACTTCTTTTTTTTTGTCCTTGAGAGACTGTTTCTGTCTAATACATCTTGCTAATAATGTATTCCTCATTCCATTGCTCTGATGGTACTTCGCTTGTGCTTTTAAACAGTGCAATTTGCTTAATGCATATCCCAGTACACAATAGACGAAGTTACTATGATGTTTTGGGCTCATTTTGTTGAACTTTCATAATTCTAATAGGCATTTTTTGACTTATCCCTGGTAATTAAAATTTTCTCTTCCATCAAATGTGCAGGTGAATCGCTGCAGCCATGTCAGAGTGAGCGACGCATTTTGATATTGGACTGCAGTGGACTGCATTTCTTTGATTATACTGGAGTCTCCATGTTGCTTCAGGTATTAGTAATACCAGATACTTTCTGTACATTAAAATACATAAATACACACAAGTTATTCAAGTCAGCTACTAGTCATCCAACTTACAGTGGATAAAGGGGGTAACTTGTGAAAGAGATGAACAGAGATTTGATACTGAACTGTGTTTGTATAAAATTATACACCAATAATTTTTATTTAATGGAGTCGCATTTCAGAAAACACTCACTTTGCTGGTATTTTTTTCGTGGGTCGTTCTTGTGTTGTTTTTTTGTTTGTTTGTTTTGTAATTTTAAAGCTGATTTATATCACATCACACCGTCAGCTTTAAAATTTCAGTTTTTATTTCTGTGAGTTTATCTCTATTACCTACTTTCTGCTAAGCCAGAGGTCTTAATGATCTCCATGTTCTATTCTGTGACATACATACCTAGCAGGCTGGGTTCCTCAGGCATGACAGAAGGTCCAGGAAGCTCCCATATGACCAAGAACAGCAACAACATAATGATCAGCACTATACAGCAAATGAAAAAAATATGTTCAAAAGCTACTTGCTATTTCCATCGGGTTTGGCATTTAATAGATTTACAGTGGGTACAGATTTAATTGGGTGTTCATGTAATTTTTCTGTTTAAGATAGAATATTAGATTTTAATCATCATGGAATCATGGAATGGCCTGGGTTGGAAGGGACCTCAGGGATAATCAAGCCCCACGCTGCTACAGGCATGGTTTCCAACCTCCACATTTAATACTAGACCAGGCTGCCCATGGCACTATGCAACCTAGTCTTGAACACCTCCAGGGATGGGGCATCCACAACCTCTCTGGGCAGCCTGTTCCAGCACCTCACCACTCTCACTGTAAAGAACTTCCCCCTGACATCCAACCTAAATCTTCCCTCCTTCAACTTAAAACCATTTCCCCTTGTCCTGTTATCTACACTTGTAGGATCCTTTAGGTACTGGAAGGCAGCAATGAGCACAAAAATCTCAAGTTGTGTTTCAGCCCAAGCCTTTTCTTATCCTAAGTGTTTTCTCAGTTTGCTGAATTGATTAATTTAAAAAAAAAAAAAAAGAAAAAAAAAGTGTTAAATTAAAAATATGTGAGGACATAGTTGGAAGGAAAACTGGTACGAATAAATAAGGTAAGAGTTACTCTTTATTACTTCTTCCCTCAAAAAAAGTGCATTCAATAAAATTAGTAGAAAAAAAAAATAGTTTGTCAACTGATTTGCAAAAGATCTATGAGACCTCAGAACTACAGATTAAATCAGAGGAATTAGACAAATTTGTGGGACACAAATCCATGCTGGGCTATGGCATAGATAGAGGTGGCTTAATGACAAAACTGGGTTACCCATAAGAGGAATGTTTTACAGTCCTTCCCTGAATATCATCACTGCTTCTGGAGTTAGAGGGATTTTTTGTGTGGAACGGGCTTCTGGGTCCTTTTTAAAGTAGGTTATACTAATGATGTTCTCATTGAATCACTTCTCTTTTCCCAGTTGTTCCACTTCACATGGATTTGTTAAGGTGTTTTTTTTGTTTGTTTGTTTATTTGTTTTTTGTTTTGCTTTGGATGCTTCCTCATCTGCCAAAAAAAAAAAAAAGGCCCTACTCTTCTTCTAGAGTTATTTTCATTTTTTATCACTTTCTAGCTTATACCTAATCTCTGTGAAACTGCACATTTTCAGAGAAAGAATAAAGAACAACTTGTTGCAGAATGTGGCATGCTAGCTATGGTACCTATTTGATAGATGCTGGAAGTTGGACTAGATGACCTTTAAAGGTCCTTTCCAACTCTAAGGATTCTATGAGTATACAACTCTTCCCCAGGTCCAATACTTGGCTTTGTGGGCTGGTAGGTAAGCTTGTGGGAAAGAGATGGGTAAACTTGCAGAAAAAGGCATACTGGAAACAAATTCATAATAATGTTATTTTAAATGGTACATTATCATGGTATATTATTGATCAGATTGATTTTTATTACCAGCAAAGCTGTAGAGCACTTTGCAAACGAGGGAAGAAATGATGCTTTCCTGCTGAACGTGATTCGGTGCTTATGTGATTTGTTTTATGGAGGGGCTCTCTCTGGTGGCTGTTGTCAGTATAGCCTGAACAGCAGCACTCCGTGCTCTGCCTATTTGAGTATGTTCTTGGTGGGTATGGTGTTGGTGTTTTAAATCTTTTTTTTTTTTTTTTTCTCCACGTTTTCACATTTGTAGATTTACATGGATTGTAAAAGCAGACACATTGAAGTGTTGCTCGCATGCTGCAAAGGCAAGTATCAACTTACAGCAAAATTTTTAATGTTACATTTATATATTCTTGCTACTTTATCAGTGCTCATATGTTTGTTTTGCTACAGCTTCCTTGATTAAAGCAATGCAGTATGGTGGAAATCTCGAATCTGAAAACCCCATCTTCTTTGACTCTATTTCTTCAGCAATCGATGCCAGTCAGATTTCCAGGGTGAGGCTTACAGCAGGGGTAGGGGAGGTCTGGGGGCTCCTTGGGTGCTCACTGAGCTTTGATAAAGCTTTCATTTGGGAAAATGTCACATATTCGGTGAACCTGTTGTACAGAAATATTTTATCTGTATACTCTGCAGCCAATCCTCAGTCTGTGGATTGCATTTACCACATTTTTCCTGCCTGCTCTCTCTTCTTGCCCCCTTCTCTCCTTTTGCAGTAACTCCTCAGTCTTCTATGCTGGATCCAGAGGTGTGTTGTTTTTCATTAATCTGAGTGCATGTTCCACTGGAAAGCATAATGACATCTCAGCATAACCAGCACAGCCTCTTGGTGAGGCAAATTATCTTCTACTCTGTCATGCATTGCAAAGCAACACTCTGTTCCTCAACCTGTGTTGCTTAAAGCAGAACACCTCTGTTAGCACAGTAACGTGGCCATAAGGTGCACATGTGCTAAGAGATAAGTGAGATAAACTGAAGAAGGGCACTGTGCTAGACTGAACAAAACACTTTGGCAGGCTTGTTTGGAGCTATTAATCTTATGTCTGCGCTGCAGTGCAGAGTGCAGTGCTGGCTCACTGGTGGGAAGAGGAGAGAGGAACTTTATGTGGTGGAAGGGAGAGCTAGAGGGAGAAGGAAGAAAAAAGGTTGTCTTAGAAATTGAGGCTTGAGGCTTGAAAGTGCATTTCCTCATATATTTGTTTGCTCAACAATAAGTCTTGCAATCCTTGCTAAAAGACTATAAACCCGGGCCTTCCTTATCATGGAGTCTTTTCCATTGAACATTAACATTCCATTGAACATTAGTTCAGTGGGAAATATGGTAATAGGTGGACTGGATGATCTTAGAGGTCTTTTCCAACCTTGGTGGTTCTATGATTGTAATCCCTGTGTAACTAAGCATGCATTATAAGCAGTGTGCTTTCCTGTGGTTGTGTTTATAATTCCAAACAAGAGTAGAGCTCCTTTCAGAACCCTGTTCAAGAGATATTAAACTAATTATGATCTGCGGTATTTGTTTTCACTTTTCCTGCCCTTTACTGTGATCTGGCATGTGTTACTAGTAAAATTAGAGTTGCCCTTGGACAAAAAAAAAAAAAAAAAAAATCATTTTTCATTGATTTATCTAGATTAGGTGATTTGGCTCTGTCCGTCTGGAGGATAGACTAAGAAAAGTATGTTCTCTTCAGTGCTTTTCAACATTTCTTTTTGTTGCTCTGCAAAAATTAAGAATTAAAAAAACCCCAAAACTGAAATGGTAACTGCAGGATAAAAATAATGGGGATGGCTATTGTATATTTTGTATGGGCCTGATTAGATGAATTAGGATGACTGTCATGTTATAAAAGATCTGGATTCTTTATAGACACCATGTAAGCTTTCTAATGTTCCTGTGAGATAGCTGGTATTCCCATTTTATGGGAACAGGGAATGGAAAAGCCAGAAGTACTGAAAATAAAAAGGAGCTCAAGTCCATTTTGCCATGACCTGAGAACGTGCTACTACTACACCTGATAAGCAAACTGGTGAAGTGGTGCAGTCTGAAAGACTTGCATATATTCTGAAATTCCGAGTGTAATTAGTATAAACATTAGTATGCTGCTGATGCCTCTTTATAGTGTTTAAGATATGTGGTTTGGTTTCTCAGTGTGTTCACTGCATTTCACATCAGAAGATAAAAAAAGATGGGCAGAAGTAAAGTGGCAGGGTGATCTCACTAGCAGCACCATGCTGTAACTGGGGTCAAGATGCTGAGGTCAGCAGGAACTTTGAGAAAAGAAGTGGCAGAATAGGATACAAAAAAGCAGGTAATGGAGATTTATGGAAAGTGTTTTGTCTGGGTTTCCGTTTCTGATCCCCTCACACCAGAATTTCAGTGGAAGAAAGTTAGAGGCAAGAGGACTTGGTGGTTCCTTTGCATCTCTGATGCATTCAGGAAGACAAAGATACGCTTATATACATCCAAGGTCAATGTCGTGCCATATTCATTTCTAAGTTGATAAGAGACATATCTATTGCTTTATGCCACTCATCTTCATCATAAATAACTTTTTGATTTGCAAGACTTCTTAATGGTGGCAATTTCAAACAATTTCAAACTAGCACTGTATCATCTGCAAATTTTCTTGATCTCCTACGAAAACATTGTAATAATTTGTTTTCTGTTTCTCACAATTTAGAAATGCAGCAAGTTCACTGAACAGAGTGAAGTGTGATGCCAACCCATCCAGTGTGGATAGTTTGACCAGCTCATATGCAGAATGAACTACACCATGGTTTCTTGTTAGCTTTTTTTTTTCTCAAGGAGATGTCATAGATGCTATTCTATATGCCATTTATGTTTAGTGCACTCAGTAATGACAGATCTGCCATTCAGAACAAAAGATCTTTCCACTGCCATCACTCAGAGATTGTTCCTATCGTTGATCTACAGTGGTTTTTATAATACTCTTATACACACTTAGAGACAAATTATTAGAAAGCAGATGTGGGGTACTGAGTGTGTTTAACAGTGAGATATATTATTTTAGATATCTTCTATTATAACATTAGTTGTAATATGCATCCGTAGTTTTGTGCATGGAATAATGAGACATCAGAATTTCTTAAAAGCACAGTGTTATAATTGATACATTATATTTGGGGAAGCCATATAACAATGCATACTTTGTTTCTGGTGAAGTTATTTACCTTTCTCATTGTTCAAGACAGCTATTTACTGTGACAGCATCACAACACAGCTAACATATCCTTCAATTTTTTGGTTATTGTAAAATTTTTTATGCCTGCAATATTTTATATGCATTTTCTGAACATTTAGAGATACGTTGGTTAATAAAATTGTTAAAACATGGTCTTTAGAAAAGATAACACCTACCAAGAGATCTTCAATTTTGTTCTGAATAATCTTGTTAACAGTAATACAGATGCTGTTAAAATTATTTGTAATGTCAGTGCTGAAATCCTTGGCAACTCTGCATCAAATTAAAAAAATTTTACTGCTATTCAAAATGGTTTCCATTTTCCCCAGTGTTCAATAGAAGTTTTCTACAGCTGGATTTTAGTATCAATTTCAACCTAATATGGAATTTAGTAACAACTTCAACACTCTTCTGTATAGACTGTCCACTGGCTTTCCTCAAGTTCATCAGGAAATAGTAGTCTGTATATAGGTAGGAGTGTATCCCAAACTTCCCATTAGCTACATTATGTACGGCCTCAAGTTGCACCAGGGGAGATTTAAGCTGGACGTTAGGAAATACTACTTTTCTGAGAGTGTTCAGGTGCTGGAATGGGCTGCCCAGGGAGGTGATGGAGTCACTAACCCTGGAGGTGTTCAAGGAACGTCTAGATATTGTGTTGAGGGACTTGGTTTAGTGGAGCTGTTGGTGGCAGGTGGATGGTTGGACTGGATGATCTTGGAGGTCTTTTCCAACTTTGGTGATTCTATGATTCCATGTTTGTTCTTCTGAGTCAGGAGGGCAAGTGAGCCAAACACATCCTGCAGCAAAGAGACTGCACAAAGCATTAAATGCCCAGGTATCATTCTGAAAACTGAGATGAGTCATAGCCAGTAAGAACAATGGAGTGTTGTTATTCTGCTCTCTTGAGACAGACATTCATCTCTGTACATTCTGGCTTTATTTACCTAGATAACCATAGGGACGATTCAGATGAATGCAAAGTCTTATTAATTGTGCTTGCATGCCTAAGACTGAGCAGCATTAGAAGAGCCTAGTCTTGAGAAGTGCTGAGCTCTCTTGCTTCTTGTTGGTTTTGAAGGTTTGAGAGGCTTGAGGAAGTGTCTGCTCTCCAAGCATGCTGTTCTGCATGGCTTCACCTAGTGAAGCCAACAGGAACTCTGGGCAGTAAGCAATTCTGAAAGACTACGTATTCATTCTGCTTCCTGTATGTGTACACAATGCTCAGATTTTATATTCCTTAATTCAAAGGGTATGAATCAACTACATTATGAAAATCCTTGTTTCAGTGTTGCAAATTTTTGTATGTTCTGCACTTTATGGGAAAACATTTAGATATTGTTTTCAAGAGATGGTCAATACCTTCATTGATTTCATTTGCTTGATGTGTTCAGGAATTTTCAGATATTTTTAGGAATTAATTCTAAATGTTAGATGTTACATTATGTGAAATAAGGGGTTTTTTCCCTCAGAATTTAAGATGTATTAATTGGGATATGTTAAAATGTGGATCTGATCACATGCTTCCTGCAGAATTTGTGTTTCACACATTCCAAAACAAAGCAATCAATGAGGAAAAAAAATTGAGTGCAAACTGATGTAAAGAAATGAACATAGTGACAATTACAAATTAGGCATAAAATATGTAATAAGGAAAAGACTGTTAACATTATATTTATGCAAATTAAATGTTTCTAATTCTCATCATATGTCTTTCTTTTTAAAGGTTATTTGCCCTGATTCTATGATTCAAGTGTCACAAGGTCTGATTTTAGCTGCTTTGACATAATTTATTTGACAGCTCTGTGTGCCATAAATATATAATGTAACGAGGAAAGGTATCTGCACTGTTGAATGAAAACATTAATGCGTCAATACTGTGTGTGAATACTGTTTGACATTTACTGGTTACAAAAATAAAATACACAGTATGCCTTGAGAATATGGCACTCCTATTTTTGGAAGAGATTTTCTTTGTCTACAGAAAGTAGCATCTCATAAATAAATGAACGAGCGCGCTTCCAGAGTGGATGCTAAATGGTGCTTTCATCATGAAGATGGATTTTCAGTAAAGATCACATAATCTGCATGTTTCCATATGTTTTACAATGCTTTTGATTTATTTTTTTTTTCATGTTTCAGTGTTGAGTATTAGCATACACTGCCATAAATTTATGTGGAAATAAACTGCAATATGAGACAGTTCACATGTGGAAAGAGGAAGCTATCCTCATTATTACAAGACTTAGCAGCTTTTTTTTTTTTTTTTTTTTTTTAATCACATTTTTTACTAACCAATCTCTAATGAGATATGTTGTTTTCTTGAGACTCAAAAGGTATTAAATGTATTATTAGGTCTTAAGAATGAATCATAGAATCATAGAATGGCCTGGGTTGAAAAGGACCACAATGATCATCCAGTTTCACCCCCCTGCTTTGTGCAGGGTCACCAACCAGCAGACCAGGCTGCCCAGAGCCACATCCAGCCTGGCCTTGAATGCCTCCAGGGATGGGGCATCCACAACCTCCTTGGGCAACCTGTTCCAGTGTGTCACCACCCTCTGTGTGAATGTGTAAATGAGAGAAGTTACATTATATTCAGAAGTTTGGCTACATTTCTTAGTACAGTTTCTAACAGACATTCTTACCTCTATTAGAGGTATAGAAATCTCAGACCAATATTCCCAATATTTCTTCTATGTATAAATTGCCATTTGAGCATCTTTTTCATCTACAGGTGGTGCACACTGATGGCATATAGAAGTCTGTGGCTTACCCCAGTATTGGGGAAATTATGGGTAAATCCTTTCACATCCCTAGTACCTGTGATGTCATTAAAAAGAGACTAACATTCGCTTATAAATTTGGCCTTGAAAGTAGCAGCCTAATTTTTCATGGCTGGAAATTTGCCATTGCAAATTCAAAAGAATTTGCCTCTACCAAAATTAATGCATTGTCCACTTTTTGACTTTACACTGATTTGCAAAGCATAAATGACTTTCAGTGCCACAAATTCATACAGGTTATTTTCTAGAGCTACACTACTCAATGGCACCCACAAAATGGTGAGGAAACCACTCTATAGTGAGATGGCTGAGTAAAACTAGTCTTTATGTTCCCAGAATTGGTATTGAAGTTCAAGATCATTTCTCACCAGGGACTTGAGAGGTCACTTCAGAAGGAACTCCTCCCCTAAGAGGAATCTTCTGGCTCCATGACACTTCTGGAAAGCATGACATGCAGAAGCAGATAAATGGATGTCTGTAATTTTTTCCTAATGTACTTTCCAGTAGTAAAAAGCCCTATAGTGCTGGGAACCTTCAGGTGAATAAAGACTGAGAAGGACTGAGGGAGCGAATCATACTGCTGCATGGGTGGTTGTGAATGACTGTGTTATCCCTCTGACAGACTTGGCGATTGTAAATGCTTTGTATCCCCACTGTGCTTTAAAAATGCAACCAGAACTTAAGAATTCCATAAAACTCCAAAATGCTGAATTAAACTGCACCCTGTACATTCACCTAAATCCCACTGTCTCCCAGTAGCTGTACATAGTCTTATATTCCGTGTGAGAAAGAGTTTGATCCTTTACCGTTACAGGCAGTTGTGAAATTTTGAAGATCACTGCTTTTGCACATTTTTGCTTTGTTGAGTAAATCAAAGAATATATAAACAAAACCATCATTAAATAAGATGACACCTGTAGACCCTGTGATATGGTTAAAAATGTTTGTTGCTCACCAGTTCAGGACAAAAGTTTTCTGTTAGGCCACAAAGTGCCAGGAGCATCACTGAATGACACATAACAGCTCTCATTTGGTTACAGATTTGGACAACTTGTAGCTTCTGAGGAGACTGAACCAGCAAACTGGTAGAAAGAGTGTAAGTTTTTAGAAACATGAGGAGATGGGAAAGGACCTGTTCCATCAAAGAGTTGCTTTTTGTGTGTATGTGTGTGTGATCTGATTATTTTATAATCTCAGAGAATGATCTTTAAATTAAACTCATGACTGCTTGGGACTTGATTTGCTTTCTCAAACATTTGAAGCCTGAACAGGCTATAGTAATTATAGCAACAATTCATCTGTGGTAGACTAAAGGCGGAGAGAGCACTGAGAAATGGGAATCAGTATTACCCAAGCAGCAGTCATGCAGCTCCATGCTGACACACTTCACACACCTCCTTTTGCTATCACCTGTCCTCTTGCTGATTTAGTCTTCCACAAGTACAGACTTTCGTATACAATTGCTCCTTGAGCCTATTCCATCTGTAAATTTCTGGGCATCCTGTATCACCTCTATGATAAAGGAAGAAGTACAATGTTTACTAATCCCATACTTTTGAGGAGGACTGTCTGCATATCTCACATATCAGATGCCAAACATCACGCTTGCCTTAGGGTCCATCTCAACTGGATCATCGGTAGTCACTGTAGTCACTGCAGTAATTAGCTGTAATATCTTCAGCTGATTTTCCATTCTGCTTCTGTGGACCTGCTGTCTCTACATCTCTATTACTAAAGGCCTCTTGTAATACATTTTTAAATAATATAATGACATTTCCTATCCAATAAAATTTAGTAGTCACAGTACTGGAATTGTCAGTATATACTGCAGTGTAGTACTGAAGTACAAGCTAGTAATTTCAACCATGTTTTGAATTTTCTTTCAGGTTCCTTTTTGTCTTTGTCTGCAACTCCTTTTAAATTTTGAAATTTCGTTCTGTTTTAGCTTGGTTTCCTACAGCCAAATTCTTAATTTAGAGAACCTCCATAAAAGAAGACATGTTTTGATAGAATGAGAGCAATCCTAACTGATAAGAGAAAAAAAATAAATCTCTTTTCTTGATCTTGCAACATTT